AGCTGATTTGTGACTATGTAGATAAAATTTAATAATATTAAATTCTATTTTATAAAAAATGAATGCTTATAAAAAGTGTGACTGTATAGAAGGTAATTGTATGAAGGTTTAAATATATAAGTAATTAGCTAGTATTCACAATAAAAACCACTTTTCATATTTTGTAATTTGTATATATTATTCGTAAATAATAATTTAGCAGTCTTTACTTATCATAATTTTTTCTAGAAATAATAAATTAAACTTAATAGATCAAAATTCAGATTAAAATATACTAAATTCAGAATTCACTAATTTTATGTATTTGATCATTTGTGTGTAATTATCATTGTTTTATGACACCTTTTCATTTTATTTTTATCATTAAGTTAATCATCAAGATTTATGAAGGTTTTGAAGTCTTGGTTAATAGAAGTAGAAGGTTAAAAATTCAGAACTAAGACCTTTTGTAATCCTAGGATTAAACTCAATTACTTTTCGATAATTTTTTTTGCTATTAAAAGTTTTATCATAGTCTATGTTCCATTTTAAAACAATAATTTTTAAAACCACTTTCATTTCAGTCTAAATATGAAAATCAGAAAAAAAAATCAGTATAAAATTTAGAATGTCAATACAATTAATAAAAATTCAAATATACTTGGTTTCTTTTATATTAGATACTTCTACTGATGAATTGCCATTATTTTTAGAGATGATTTTTATTAATTTATATTCTATTTCATCATTAGTACAATAAATTGGTTTGCTTTTCGTTATTTAGTAGAAAGCTTATCGCTAAAACTGTTTTTCAGCTGCTTCATTAATTTGGGTAGTTGTAATTTTACAAATAGATTGAATCTAAAATATCAAAATAAAAAAAGTAAGTAAAATATTAAAATAAGTATTCTCAAATATAAATTTTATCTTTCCTGTAAATCATTAATTTCCTGCTGAATTCATTGTTAATTTTAGCAAAGAATTGATTTTTGGATTCTAGTTATTTATTTTCACAGAAGAGATTATAATTTTGTCATTTGAGATGCTCAATCATTTTGCAAAATTTGTTGAGTTGTTCCTTTAGCTTTCAATTTTCTATATAAGAAATATATTGTTAGATTATTATATTTATTAATCGGAGAATAAGACAAATTGATACCAGTTTGTAAATCATCAGATTTATTAATAGTTATCATTTTGACTAAAGTTGAAGAAGTTACTATTGATTTGTGTTAGAATTTTGATGAGAATTGAATAACCTTATATTATTTTTGCAATTCGTCAACCTATTTTGGATTTGTTGAAATGTCTAAACCTCTAATTTTGACAGGTTTTTAATAAGTTTATAATATAGTTTCAACTATTTGATATAGCTTGACAGGTTTGATGGGTTTCATTCAAATTTCCAAATTATAGATCAAGTAAATATAAAAATTAACTTATGTTCTAAAACTATCAGCTTCTCATTAGATTTTTGTTTCACTTATTTCGATTGTTGTGATTATTCTACTTATTATGCTTGTTTCTTTAGTTATTTATTTGGAAAAGATAAAAGTTGATTAATAGAGATTTGTTAAATTTGAAAATCGAATTTATATAATTTATTAATTAATTATATATGTATACAAGAAATTATGCAAGAAAATATATAAAAAAATGTTTAAGAAATTGCTACTTCCTAAAGAAAGTCAATTGAAAAATTAGTACTTTTATATATCTCAAATCAACTAATTCTTACTCATTTGATTTGATACCTTTACAATAAATATTTTTGCAATATTACTTATTTTCTGTTTTTCAAAAATCAACTAAATTCTGATTTATTTGACTTGAAAATTTAGTTTTTTTAACAAAATATCTTTGCAAAATTATTCATACAACTAGTTTTACTCATTATACCTTTATGATACAATATTCTTGTGATATTGCTTATTTGACTTTCTGTTTTTAAAAAATTAACCTAAATTCTAACTTATTCTACTTGAAAATTTAAGACACAATACAATTCTTTTAAATACTCATTATAATATTTCTTTAATTATAACTATCTTAAATATTATAAAAATATTATATGATGAAACTTTTAATTGTATAAATAACACTTATTCTTTTATTAACATTATGACCACACAATTTTTTATTCAATAATAGTTGAAAGTTAAAAAAAAAAGTAGAAAATTTTAATCAATTTTATTATATTTACTATTAAAAGTTGGAATTAATTAATTAATAATGACCAATGATAGTAGTTAAATAATCAAATAAATAATAAATTTTATTCCTACAATAAAATTTTAAGAATAAATCAGTTCAAAGATTTTTTTTTTTTTTTTTTAAAAAAAAAAAGATCCCATCGCTATGGTTTTGGATTTATTAATAGAAATTCTGTTATTCGCTAAAAGGTCTTTGTTACCAAGATTTTATACAAGGATAATATAAAATGTCATTTACTAAACAAAATGGGTTGATTATTTTGAAAACTAATTCTTATCATCACATTAAACAATGTTTTTCAACCATTTTGAATTACGAAACAGCAAAGTCACATGGGTTGATATGCAAATCGAACGTGATTAGGTTATGAATTGAGCTATCACGTGACACGTACTTTAAAAAACCATTTATTTATACATATGGTCTAGGTAAACCCGCCCAAACTAGTTGATTTATGCGTCACGTGAAAACCAAAAACCAGAAAAATATGAATTGTTCTGAATAATCTGAATAAACAATTGAATAATTGTTTTATTATTATTACCTTTTTTAATTGAGATAAACCAAAAAGGATTGAAACAAAGTTGTTAATAGGAATTCCGAGAGAAAAAAAAAAAAGAAATAATTTACATACGCCCACACGTACCGTGAAAATCATCGAACTGTGAAATCACAGGTGATTTAACCCGTTTTAATCTTCAACTTTTAAAAATCTAACGAAATATGCTTACACAAAATAAAATCGATTTTTTTGTATTATTATTATGATAAACCTTTTGGGGGTTCATAAGTAAAATGACGCGAAAAAAAGCAAATTTTAAATTTAATCCAGATTGTAATCCTTTGATGTTTGAGGAACCTAATAAAAGCGCCATTCAAGCTTACTTTATTTGCTTAAATTATTTTTAAGATGTTACATATGAAAGAGGACGAAAAGAGAAATTGCATGACGAATTGAATTCCACATCAAAAACTTGAGGACAAAATGTGATACCACACAAACTTTAATCCTATATTAAAATATTTCAGGCAAGTGAAATCCTTTAATTAGCTAACTTGAGGAAGATTAAATTTAAAAAAAAAAATTCAAATTGTCGTCAATTGAGCAAATGATAACCCATCTTCGGTAAATGATAAGTTTAATGCGGGGTGATTTTTAAAACAGAAGGATTCGTAGATTAATTGCAGGCAAAAGATGTTTATCTCTCCAAATAAATAATAAATATCGAATTGAAAAGAAAAGACTCATTCATAATTGGTCCAAAAGAATGAAAATGTTCATCCAAAGCACGTACATTCGGTGTATAGCTTTCTAGACACATGATTGTTCATGCTGATTACCTTTTATTCCTCTATACTTGGCTAACTAACGTCAGTTAGTCAATCTATGCGTTTATGCATGACAATCTTAACCCGCTTTTATGGTTGAAACGAAGATATTCACGTTGAATCATCATCCATTTACATAAAAAGAAATAGTGCATTACACGGTATTCATTAATGGTTGAGCTTTTACTTGCAAAACCCGCAAAACAATCATCAAGCAAAGAGCCCCATTTTGTGATATCCGAGAAAGAAACCCGGCGCGTTACGCTGCGGCCATATTTTTTTTTTCGCGTCGTGTCGATCTTCATTCTTTTTGATAGAACTATTGAAAACAAAACCAATAAGACCAAAAATGGAATGTTCGTGACGGATGTGACAGGTGATAATTCACGCTCTGGGTAGGGGTGATATATTGAAATTTATCAGTCTAACGTGAAAATCTCATGTTATCGAGTTACCCAAATGATCATCGAAATTCGTACGCAGCAACCCAACATTTGGCCTGAAATGATTTTAATTATTTAATTTGTAATCCGGTTAAACAAAAAAAATTATGAAATCAAATGAAATCAACTCGTTCATTGAAATCATACCATCATCATAAGGAGTTTGAGGTCGGAGTTATGTTCATGAAATTCGACCTCCCCAACGAATCTTCCTATTTAGTTCTCTCTTGCCTAGTTTAAACATCGTTAACCTAAATTAATGAATAATTTGGTAAGTGCCATCACATTGTTAGTAAAGAACGAACATTGTTCCTGAAAGAATCCACTAAGCTATTTATTCGATAATATCTCTCACCATTTTATTGTAGTAAGCTTATCTTTTTTTTTTCATGTGGATTTTCATTTTTGTCAAAGTGGGATACCTTTCCGAAATGCTCCTTAAGGTACCAAACTTATCCCGTCAGCCAAGAATCAAACGAAACCCTGGATACAAAATCGAACTCGTCAAAGGACAATTTATTATATCTGAATTTTTACTTGTCCTATTTTAGCAAAGTATTTTTATTTTCCACGCGCAGATGTAACATATATTATATTATTGTAAAACGTGTTATTATTTTATTTATATATGTTAATTTATCAATTAAAAAAAAAAAAAAAAAAAAAAAAAAAATTTTTTATATTGCATACTCTATTCAATTGAATTCCGGGATTTTTTTTTCATACAAATAGATGGTGCGCAAAAGCACAAAAACCACCCGTTTTTTTTTTACCTCAAAAAAAAAAATATATATATACATTATTCTTTTTTTTTTCTTCTATAATTTTTTTTCTCTTGAAGAAAAAAAAAAAAAACCAAACCAAACCAAACCAAACAAAATATCTAGATCTTTTTTTTTCTCTCGAATTTTTTCAAAAAAAAATAAAAATAAATTATTAATAATAATAATAATAAAAAAAAGGAATTAAGTACAAGATTTTTTTCCTTTGCAGCAATCAATCAAACTAATCAAACTATAAATCATAAAAAAAAAAATGTTTGATACACCAGCAGCCGCCTTTTATCACGGACCGAGTCAAAAAAATGTGAAATCATTATTTAGCAGTATCAATATGCCATCAACGCTTCCAACACAATTTCTTCCTTCTTCTTTGACGAACCTTTCGTTTAGCGGATATTTTCAACAACCCTCTCAACAAGAAGCAAAAATCTCTTCTATTGAACCTTCCTCAATCGTTGCTTCAGCACCAACCGCACCACAACAACCCACTCATAACAAACGTACCCAACGACGAGTTCCTAAACAACAAAATTCATCTTCCATTGTTGCCACCGCTCCTCAACGATTGGTGGTTGCAAACAATAACATGGGTAACGTAAGCTCTGTAACCGCGCAATCTTCTAGCTCATCATCTACACCTAACGCTGCACCTTCCTCTCATCACCAACATCACGCCCCTTCCCACGTAACAAGTCGAAGGAAGAAACATTCAAACAAAATCAATAGAAAGAAAGTTGATGATGCCATTACTTTATCAGCTTTTGCCGTTGAAGAGGACAATCAAGGGAATCATGATGTCGCAATGGAATTTTATTTGACAGCGATCGAAAACATGTTGGAAGCCTTACCTAGTAAGCAAGATGTGATTTTTTTTTGTGTTTTTATGACATCTTCTTTTCATTCACACGATCTTGTTTTTTCTCCTTTTCGTAGTTCATGCCAATCAATCTCGAAGGGACGCGTTAAAGAATAAATTAAGAGATTTTATGGATCGGTCGGGACTCACCGATGACTTCATGGAGTCGACCAATGCTTTTTCGGCCGCAAAAACCGTCGAATGTGAAGAACCTCAATCAAGTAATGGAGCAAACATATCGCAACATATCATACAAGCCGCAATCACTTCGGCTGTCGCATTAAAACAATCACCAATTCCCGATGCAATAACAGCCACAATGAATTACACCATGAAGAAGATCCAGAAAATTGACGAAACTTATGGACTTCAAGATAAAGCTTGGGAGATATCAAGGACCGGAATCAACTTGGCGTTGGAGATTGATCAACAATATAACGTCCATGAGAAAGTGGGAAATGCGTTCTTCGTCGGTTTAGCGGCTGCGATGAAAGCAACAATCGCTTACAAAGATTCTCCTTCATATCGCGAATTACGAAGAATTAAAGATGAATTTCAAAATGCGACCTCCAGCAGCTTCAATTGCAAAGAAGAAGTTTCATATTAATCTGATTAATAACTCTTAATAAATAATTAGTTAGTTAGAATAATTAATAAATAATCCAACTTTGGCAGCAATAATGTTTAATTTTAACGTTTATTTGGTCATTCAACAATTTTCTTGACCGTTTTTATTTTATTTTTTTCCTAAAACCTAATTAGTTTCTTCATAACTACATAGATCATCCCCAGATAACTTCTATTTTCTTTCCCTTTTCCTTGGGGTTGGGGGGTTTTTTTTTTCTACATCATTACATTATTATTCGATATAAATCCTTGTACATAGAGAAAAATTTTTTTTTTTTGGAATTAAAAAAAAAAAAAAAAAAGGTTACTCAAATAAAAAGCAACATTAAGTTTTGGTATTTTAGAATTGTAATACATAAACAACACTTGTACAATAATACAATGCTTCGTAAATTAGAGCGCGATTTGATTCACCATATTGTTTATCCGTCCATTCATAATTTTAAAAGAAGTAGATCATAAATAAGTAGATCGAATTGGGGATCATACTCTGTTCATTGACGTACCTTTTTTTTTTATGAGGCTTGAATTCTTTTATTTTCATGTGGTTTTTTTTTATTGTGACACAGCCTTTATCTATAAAGTCTATTTTCTATTTACATTAAAGCTAACCATACTTGTGACTTTTGTCATCATTTTTAATTTATTTTTAATTTTTCTTTTTTTTTTCGGTTCAAATAATATGTCATTTATCTTTGTACATGCATCGTGAATCCATCACGAATTTAATTTGACAATTTGTTATCTTTGGTCACACTGCCATTATAAAAGATGAAAAAATTCGGGCACACAAAGGTTTTCCTTACATGATTGTTTACTAATAATTTACACCACATGTAAAAAATTTCAAAAGGAGCAAACGTGGGCGATTCTTTAGACAGCCATTATGAGTAATATGCCTGTTCACCGCGGAATACCTCCTTAAATTTTTATTTCTTTTTTCGTCATGTATGATCGGAATTAACCTATTTGGCCGTCACGTTATTAAGATGTTCTTGCATACTGATAATGCAGGAAAAAAAGGAATTTTGCACCATTGAATTAATTGTACTGGTGCAAAATAGAAGAGATTATCCCGCCCACGCGTTTTTATTTTCAGCTCATCTACATATTTAGAATATTTCGATAACTTTTAAAAAAAAATCCATAAAAGAATAAAAGAATTAAGATGATTCTGGGAAGATGGAAGCGGAATTAAAATTTAAATGGGATGTAATCATCAAAAAAAAATTTTTTTAAATGTTGTTGGGCTTAGCTAATCGAACGAAAAAAAAAGAATTCCTCCTGGGCTTTACAAAGCCTCCAGACAAGTTTTTCTTGTAACACTCCCCCTCCCCTTTTGTTCAATGTTAGGAATATCAATCATTTGTTTTAACAATCTAAACCAAGCAAACAGCTCCAAATTTTATTAGAACAACGTTTCATTCGTTTGTTGGTTCGCAATGGTCAAACCTTAAAAACGATTTTATTTGTAAAACAAGAATGTGGTGATTTCTTAATCGGCATGTGTTGGATATGTGAAAAAAACGTGTGATAAATCATTTTCACTATGCAATTACTATATTTCTCACGCATGTGATAGATAGTTATATAATAATTGAATTTCCCAAAGGAGGATATTAAACAAATATCAAAAAAAAAAAATCAACAATATAACCCTATAAGCCATAACAATTTATCCACCGCATTTGGCATCATCCGAACCGAAAATACCGAAATTCAAAGAATCTTCACATGTTACTTGCAGGAATCGCATTCAACCACTAAAAAGAATTTTGTAAAAGATATTGTCATAAATAATATGTTGTGGCGCTTTTTTTATCCTCTATTTTCTTAATAATAATAATAATTATTATTATTTTCCTCTCCTCTCATGATTCCCAAATAATCAATGATTTGTTTGATTTTTAATAACAATGACCCTGTTGATCTATCAATGTTAACATGAGGTCAAAAGAAATTTTCGGTTGAAATTACGTAAATTGGCGTTTTTTTTTTTTTATCTGCTTTCCCATTTCTTTTAACACCGATCAACTCTTGTAAATATTTGTTTTTTAAGTTGATTCATTTTTTTTATGAAAAAATCATATGCAATGAATTAAAAAAAAAAATTTTTTTTTTCTATCAGAGGCTGATTGATAGCATTTATTATCCTCAAATTGTCATGATATCACCACCTAATTTGCCTTAATTTGTTGATTTCCTCTGATCATCAGAACTTCCTTGATAAGCAGAAATAAATTAGACTGGCTTGTGCTTTTTTTTTTTGTTTGTCAAAAAGTTAATTAGGGAAAAAAAAGTATGTTTTAACCAATTTTAAACAATTTAAGGTTTCATTGAAAAAAGGCTTTCACTTTATGCATCATATATTTTGATAGATGTCAAAAAAAAAAAGGGATGTTTTTTTTTTTAATTTAGAACAATTGGTCATTTCATGGTGGCAAAGGAAAAAAAATTTAAAACCATTTTTATATATATATATTCAAGATTGGTACGACGATAACGGTTTTCCCTTTAGTCGATGTTTTTTTGCTATGAAAAGAAAAAAATGATATCATTCCAATCACAAAACATTTGTTTTCTCGACATTCATTAAATTATTCCTAAACTTTATATAGCGAACCATTAAAATTATTGTATAGCATACACATTTTTAATCGTGACGAGACTGGTTTTTTTTCCTTACGAACTGAAAAAATAAAATTATAGCGCATAACTTGTAATTTCCTAATCGAGAAGGATGTTAAAGACTCCAACTTGTATAACGCCAAGAATGAAGAAGACACAGTTTTTTTGTTATGGAATAAATCATATAAATCTTTGTTTATGATTTTCCAAAAAAGAAAAAGGAATTAATTACGTAAACAATTGGAAACTAGTCGGGTTTTTTTGTTGATTTTTATATATATATATATATATTTGGAACATAATAAACATAATGGTTATTTGTTTATATCATGTGAAAATTATTATTTTTTTTTTATAGGAAAAAAAGGAAAAAAAAAATTTTTTTTTTCCACAAATTTTTGGAAATTCATGACATTCGCAAAATCGTTCCTTATCTAAGTTTAACGTTTCGCTTAGTACTTTTAATTTAACTTTTAGGGAGATAAATAATACAATTTAATTCTGTGTACCATTGTGATTGGGATATGTGATCTTTCCGGATCTACATTAAAAAGTTTAAATTTAATATTAGAAATTTTGTTTATGTAAAATTCATTCTTTTTTCCGTGTTGATAAAATTTTATTTTGTATAAGGTCGAGTATTCCCGAAATTTCAGGTTTATGTTCATAAAAGGCTTTTCTTTGTTTTTTTAATGGGATGCATATAATAAGTATGCTAATTCTCCTGCGGCTCATCTTTTTGTCAATGTTGATTGCCGCAGTAACCTTTGATATCTTTGATATCATTTCCCGTCTAAAGAAAAAATGTAATTCAAGATTTTGGGGGAAAAACACGTCGTGTCATTTGAAAGAGAATAGCGTGATTACGCGTTTAAACCTTGACGAATTATGCTTGATCTTTTAAATCTTTTAAACGTGCGTTGAATTACGAATTCATTAATTATGAGGAAACTTAATTTGATAAGTTTAGGGAACCCACAGATCTTGCATTGATGATGATGCAAACAAAAAGAGAATATCATTATGACATTATTTTATTTTTATAAATTATGTTTCATATTTAGAATAAAAGTGACAATTTTTGGTTTCCGATCTATCATTTCATTTGATTTTTATGAATGAATGAATGCTATGTATATATAAATTTTTTTTATCGCATATATGCAACCGTCCTTTTTGTCTAGGTGGGATTTATTTGGGATGGGTGAAGATTTCTATGATAAATTCTCTTGATAAAACAAACAAGCAAAATATATGAACCTCCTCAAAAAAAAAAATACATATATGCGGTATCATTATTACATCATCGAAAAGCGAAACATCTTCAGCTTCATATCTTTCCTTTCGACTCCTCATTTTAAAAAATGTTAAACTAGGATCAAAGATCGATTTTTTCAAAGAGTTGGGGAAAAAAAAATTTTAAACAGGTTGAATTCCGGAAATGGATAAATTATTCATAATTGTCGTAAGAAATTTCGTGGTATAAATAGGAATTTTTCCGAAAAGGCTTTAGCCCAAAATCTTTTTTTGTCTAGCGACTTTTTTTTTTTTTTTTTCCTTCTCTCCTCACTTCGCATTTTTTTTTTTTTTTTTAATCATCGAATAATCCCGAATAATCATTATCTTTTTGTTTAAAGAAAAAAAATCATGGCGACCGTGAATCATATAAAGATTTTTCAATCACCTTTGAAAAAAAGAAATGGTCCTTTAAAGATGTATTACATCAAGACAATTTGGAAGGTTGATTCGTTGAAAGATTTATCGGGATTAGATGACATGATCATTTGTGAATTAATCGTTACCGATTGTGCCTCGTTTTGGACGCGAACTGGTAAAAAAAAAAAAATCCTTTTTTTTTAATCGATTTTCTCCAAGAAATTTTTCGTTCACACCAATCATTAAAAAAAAAATCAAATCAAATCAAATAAAAAAAAAAAAGTCAATTTGGGGGATTTAAAACGGATTAAACCTGATGTGATACGCGATGAGGGAATATTTTGTGAAGCCACTTATGCTGCATTATCTGGATTGAAGTTGTTTGAAAATCAAAATATATCGTGTCGGATCGATAGAATTGCTGATGACGCCGAGGTAAAAGGATGGTCATTGATTACGTAATAGATCATTTATTCTCTACTTATTATTTGTTTTTTTTCCTTGATTTCAATAGCTTTCTTGGAATTTGTTAATGGATCAACCTGAAATCATGGTATCGATTAAGAAATATGTAATCGACAAAAAGTCAACACGTTAATCACGTTATATCTTTTTTTTTTTCTATTTTTAAATCATTCGCTAATAGCCATTGCAATTGACTCTCGGAACAGTCTCATTGGATCCGGTTTCGCAGATCGAGACTTTAAAGATGTGGCAAGAATGGATGGATTATTTCATTGAAGAAAGGAATCAAATCATGGTAAAAAAATTAATATAAATTTGATTTGTAAAACGTATTTTAATTATATTTGATCACGATTTTGTTTTTCTTTTCTTTTTTTTTTTTTAAAAAAAAAAAGATGAATAATGTCAATTGTGAAACGCGCGTTAATGATTTGATACAGATTAATGATCTTGCGCAAGAAAAAATCGAATTAATGACTAGTGATAAAACCGATAATCAAAAGATGATAGATAAAGTAGGATAACAATTAACATATCTAATATATATATATACAGTATATATATATATATATTATTATTATTTTTTTTATTATTATTTTTATTATTTTTATTTTTATTTTATTTTTTATTATTCCCTTAATATTTTGTCAGTTTAGTTATTATTATTCTTATATCTATATAGTTCAAAAAACACTTAAATAACAAGAAAAGAAAAGTGAAAAAATTAATAAATATATTAAATCCGAATGGTAGATTTGTAATTTGTTATTTTATTTTTTGTTTTGTTTTTAAAGTCTTATGCTTTAAAATGATGACAAATAATCGTTTGATTTTTTTTTTTAAAAAAAAAAAAGAAAAAGAGGTTGAGCTTTCAAGCGAACCATTAGAATTGCAATTTAGTGACCATTCCGAAACAAACAAACAAAGGGTAACTCTTGAAAAGTCTCCATTGCCAAGATCTAAACTATCTCCTACAAACATTGTCCTTCCTTCCAAGAGACCTAGATTAGATAAAATAATCGAATCAAATGAAGGTGCATCGACAAGTAAAGAACCAGGAAATCAAGGAGATCAAGGGGAAGATAAGGATAAAAAACCTCAATTAGAATCCGTTCTCACTAAAACTTTTCGCGGTCAAGTGATTAAATCTCGAAAGTGGGTTATCATTTCATTTAAACGTTCATTGCAAATAATTCTGAGAATTCTATCTTACATCTTGATGATTTTTATGATTGGTTTAAAATAGGATTAATTTGAATAGAGTCACCTTGGATGATATTTTGACCAATTCTGAACAAGTCACGTAAGTAAATTATGAAAGAAATTTTGCCCCAAAAAATAAATTGGGTTGCATTAATTTTATTTTTTTATTTCTAGCAAGGATCCTTCTAAAAAAATCGACAAAACAGATGATTTAACCCGAAAATAATGGTTATAAAAAAGATCAACAACTTGTTTGAAATTAATAAAAAATGGTCACTAAATACTAAATTTAACAAAACGGACTATATCAATTCCGTTTACCCACAGATAGGGTTGGGAAGTTAATAATTAATATAAAATAAATATAAGTACAGTACAATGTTAATTTATCTAGTACATATAAATTTCCCAACCCTACCCACAGGCTAATCAAAAATATTTGGTATTGCCAAATTTAAAAAAGAAAAGATATTAATTACTACACATAAATTTACTGTAAATATCTAAAACAAAGGTACTTCAAAAATAATTTTATTCCCCAAACGATAGTAGTAATCCAAAATAACTCTAGTAAAAGTCGTGCATTATTTACAACCATCAAAATCTTTACCATCAAATCACAAAATCCACTCCTGACATTAATTAATTATCGTCTTGAAGCATTCATCAATTAAAAATACAAGCTATTACGGATGATCCATAAAGAACACCATGTATTCGCATATTTTTAGCGTGAGACTGACTTTTTGAATTCAAATGCTTTATTTAAAGTTTTAATTTTCATGATAATTACCAATGTTAATTATCAAAGTTAATATTATTTTATTTCTTCTATGTTTCTCTAGTTCTAATTGTAAATGAACCAAGTGAACATGTTATTTAATAATTTCATGAAATCATTTTTATGAGAATTTTTTATATAATAAAGAAAAGTTACATAAATATCAGCAATTAATTTAACTGTATTATTGGCTTTCTTAAGATTTTATCTTTAGCCGAGAAAAAACAAAAAATGTCCATCATCAATGTTTGTATCGGTCACGAGATTCACGTTTTTTAAATCTGGATCCACCATCATCGTTAAATTTACCAAATGATTTACTATCGGAACGACCTCTACCAAATGAATTATTGTCAAATCTGCCTCCACCAAAACTGTCAGCACGATTTCTACCAGATCTATTACCACCTCGTGATTGGCCAATCCCAAACTTATCCAAGAAAGATGGACTCAATTGGATGTCTTGTCCAAAAGACTGTGAAAATTCATTAACAGCTGGTAATAAATTATCTTTTCTGAGATAAGTATTTGTTTTTCCTGAATCTAAAAATAAAAATTATTTATAATTTAATGAAGGATAATTATAAAAATTTTGCATATTAAGATAATTACTCACAATATCCTAGAAAGGCTGCGCAAGCACTCCTAATCTGATCATAATCAAGCTCTTCAAGAGCTCTTTCGATCATACCATCATCCTTAACAATATATGATCGACCATCTACTTCTTTTACTGGTAGATTATTAATAAGTTTTATGAATCCTTTCTCAAATGGTGCCAAAATAAGAACTCCTTCACCTTCCCTTCCTGCACGACCTGTTCGTCCCAAACGATGAATATACTGTTCCCGAGAAGAAGGAGCACCAACTTGAAGCACCATAGTAACTCCCGGGTAATCTACACCTCGTGCTGATACATCGGAAGTAACAAGGACTGTACTATTTTTTGATTTGCGGAATCTCTCTGATACTCTGGAGCGTTGTGCTTGTGACAAACCGGAATGGAGTTCAAAAACTTCTAAATCACCTAGATTTCTCAAAAATTCGGCATAAAGCATAGTTCCCATTCTTGTTGATAAGAACATTATTATTTTTCCATTTTTATGTGATGTCTTATGTTCCTTCATGACATTTCGAATAGCGTTAAGATGCGAATCATAAGGGGTTATGATATATGACTGTTTGACTTGGAGGTTCGTGTTAACATCATTCGCATCAACGGTATCAATAAATGAGTAATCAGGCTTGAGAGACATTTTGGCTATTTGTCGAATTTGTGGAGAAACTGTTGCGGAAAATAGAAAGGTTTGTCTTTCTTTTGGGATATATTCCACGATGTCTTGAATATCTTCTCGAAAACCCATATCTAATAACTGGTCTGCTTCATCAAGAATTAACTATTCGAGTTAAACAAACAAAAAAAAAAGTCCCAAAGAGAAAAATAATTTTTTTTAAAAAAAATAATAATAGAAAATATTTTACATTCAAAAAGAATATATATATATAATTAAAGAACTTACAGTTTTTACGCCTCTACATTGCTTTTTAAAATTTGGTACGCTTGATAATAGATCATACAATCTGCCCGGGGTACCTACAATAAAATCTACCCTTTGATATGATAATTTTCTGACTTGAGCTGATTTGCTCTCACCGCCTACTAAACAATGAACTTTATAATTATAATAAGATAAAAGTCGGTTCGCTTCATTGGCTATTTGTTGTGCTAATTCGCGAGTTGGGGAAATAATTAATACTGAAACCATTTCTCCTCTATGTTCGGGTTGAGAGTTACGAATTATGGTTTCGATAGCCGGAATCAAAAATGCCAAGGTCTTGCCGGTTCCAGTCTTTGCTTTTACAAATAAATCACCTTCGATTGGTAATTTTGATAGTACAGCGTCCTGAACTTTTGACATCTCATGATATTTAAATACTTTTTGTAAAGCTTTTTTTGTGTTTTCTGACATTGAACTAATATCATCAAACCGTAAAGGAACATATTCATCTTTGTTTATAATAGAGGCATCCTCTTCATTAGATACTTGAGTTTCTGTTTCATTATTCGTTATATTTTCTTTTGTTGTTCGTGCTAACTTAGCATATGTACGAATTAAAAAAAGTTGTGGCGAGGTATTTAATCCAGTTGATAAACGCGTATCAAAAGAGAACCGTTTATTTTTCAACACGTTTAAGGTAGAATATCCTCGATTCACTGAAGTTATCGACCGAGCTAAACATATTCATAAGAAAAGGTATTGATAAAATCAAATATAAATCATAAAATTCGCTTTATATACTGAATAAATAAAAACTAACAATGCTGTAACTCTGATCTCAAATCGAAAGTTGGTTTGTTCCGTAGAAAAGACCTTAGCGCCACATTTGCAAAAGCAAAAGCATTTTTATATGAATTGCGACGACTTACACCTCCTATTAGAGTTTGTGCAGACATCTTTTGTAAAAAAAATTTTCTTTGATGAAAAAATTTTTTTGATTTATCTCATCAGATCTAAACTTAAATAATCAAAAAAATTTTTTGGGTTTAAAGGTTGGTTGGCCGAAATTTTACAGGCACTAGTGTCAAATAATAAGATTACTCCGTTCAATCGATATACTGCGACTTGTATTTTCTGGTGTCAAAAATTGTGCATACCTCTTTTATATGATTTTTTTAACGATAAAGATATTCCAAAAATCCTTTTAAAATTTTATAATTGATTTCTTTAAAAATGTAATTTAATAAGCAATATTATTATAATCCTTCTTGTAGAAAACGACTTTCACATGAACTTGTTGAACAAGAACTTGCAAGAATTAATATCAAAATCTTAAAAATTTTTGATAATACAAATAACTTAACATTGGCTTTAGATGGTTGGACAACTCCTACTGGACGATCTCTTTGGAATTTTGTTATTTTAAATAATTCTCCGAAGGTGAATAACCAAAATTTAAATATTACCTTTTTATACTATATTTCTGAAAATAACTGATGTTTTTAATTTATTTTATAATTTGACTTATATTCAAAGAAATTAATCATTATAAAAAAAAACTTTTATATCATTAAGTAATTTTAAAAGTTAAACCATTATAAATTTCTATATAATATAATTATTAATTAATTAATTAATTTCATTAGATATATATTTTCTTTAAAAAATTAATATTAAATTGTTAATGATAAATGATTTAAATAATAATTAAATTTAAAAAATTTATTTAATTATATAAAAATTTAAAATAAATGTTAACTCATTATATTTAATATTGAATATTATTTAAACAAAAAAATTTAATATTATATTTATATAATAATTGTTAACTTTCTAATAAAAATTAAGTAAAAAAAATATAATTTTTTATTTATATATTTATATATTATTTTTGTTTATAAATATAAAATAAAAAACATTTGAATATTAAATCTGAACTTATTTTATTAAAAAAAATCATATTTAGTATATAAAATAAAATTTTAATTTTTTTGTAGCTTTGTATTTTTCTACAATAAAGTATTTATATTTATAAATATTTTAATTAATTATATTATATAAAAATAAATCAAAAATAATTATACAATCCATGAATTTTAATTTATCATTAAAAATGTTTCTAAAGTAATAATATACTTTTGATAAATAATTATAAATCTAAAATTTTATTTATATATTTTAATAAATTTTAATATTAAATATAGTGCAAACAGCTTAGTCGCATCCAATAATTTTTAATGTTTTAAAATGTAAAGGAATTTTATTGAATCATATAACCATTAAAAAAAAATACGTTAATAGATAGCCTTTGATATGGTCTTTAAGGCAACATATTTTTTTTATTCATTTTATTATAAAAAAAATTTTTAGTTAGGATTTTTTTAATGCTAATTTTAATAGTAATAGTGAAAATTTCAGCACCATCAGTATCACGTAAAAGCAATATAATTGGTGGATATTATTCATATGATCGTATATGATTAGATAAAAAAATTTTTTTTTATCTTTACACATCGAATTCTTCCAAAGCAGATACAGGAACCCTACGATGAGACTAATATTGCTTAATCGCAAAGACAGCTGCCTTACCTGAAAGTCTAAGCTCATAAGCACTTATATAACGTGTAGAACAGCGTAAAAATTAGTGAATTTTTGTTAGGCCAATTAAATCTAATGCGCGCGGTACAACTTCCTTAAGATGCTCGAACGAATAATTGCAATGAAGACGTGAGTAACGCTTCGCTTCTGCCCAAAAATACTTGATATAATTAAGTTCGCAGTGGAATTTCGGGTAGAACATGCACATATGTCACACTTTCTTAATAACCTAAAGTTAAGTATTTTAAAAAAATTTGTTACATGTTATATTTGAAATAATGAATATTAATTACAACTTACCTCCTGTATATGTATTTTTTGTGATGCAAAATCGGGTTGGGCAGAAAG